GAATGTGCTCTTCAAGGGGAAAAAATACTTCTGATTTCATGAAGCAAAAATGTGCTTTTTATTTTGTTCTCTGGTATTCGGTTCCATGTGTTTTACTTGAATAGTGAAAATTGTTAAACAGGATCATATGAAAAACCAAAGGAGAAGAAAAATCTGTCAGTGATGTCAACTCATGGCAAAAATACTAGAATTAAAATCTCAGGCTGTGTTTTGTGTATTTTTATTTTAATGAGTGTATCATTGCATTTTATCGGTTTCAAGACGTGCTTTATTTTCTAGTAAATAAAGTAGCTGATTTTTATTTTTTTATATAGCCATTGCAAGGGAGTAGCAGGCTGTGCAGTAAGTGCAAGAAAGCAGTTTTAGATGGTATAAATTCTGCAATTAGGATAAATACATGAATTTTATATCAGTTCAATCAATGAACTATTTTCTTGCACACTGCACAGTTCAGCTGCCATCCTCACAAATGTGCACATATGAAACACATCCATAGGTAAATGTAGTAGCACTTCAGAGACAAGAATTGAGTTTGTAATGTTAAAAAATTGGCTTTTTTATTATCTCAGAAGCTATATCAAACCACACAAACTTGCGGTCAGTTTCTTTGCTTGTCTTTTTTTGCTTCTTCTTTTTGCCTTCTGTCTGAAGAACCTGAAGGACTTTGCTAGGCCTGGTCTGTATGTATATCTGAAGGTTCTGTTCAACATGAATTGTAGAACATGTAAAAATAAGTTCAAAACTCAAAATACTGCATAACATTTTTCTGTGACAATCTCAGCATGTACTGTGCTCTGCTGCAGGTCAACTGAGTCCTGTTCCAGCAGTGATTGTCCATCCTGGGACAGCACTGGGATGTTCATTCCAGCTGATTGTTCATAGTCTGGATCATCCCATGGCCCTTGTAATTCCACTCACAACTTGATCCTGATTGTTCAGAGCTGTGCAAGCGGTGGGAACACTTCCCTTGAGCAGTTTTCTTCCAGTTCCAAGGGCAGCCTGGAGGTGCTGTGCAGCCTCTCACCGTGGGAGAATGAGGAATAATGGAGCACTTGGGGGTTGCACACTCTGAAATGGGCTCAGTAGGTTCTCCTTGGGGAAAGGAGCTTTTCTCAGCATTGTCCCCAATCTCCTCCACTTGGTGGGCCAAAGTTTGGAAGGAAATGGGCCTGGGGAGTAGGGTGAGCACAGGTGGAGTGTTCTTGTTTTCCCTTTGTTCTGAGTTCTTGCAGCTAATGGCTTTCCTTGCAGAGTTCCTTTTGTGAGAGCAGCACTGTAGGAAGGACAAGGCACAAAAGGTGAGCCTCTCCCTGCATGGAAGGACTGAGGGGGAAGGCAGAATGGCACATTTTGTACCAACACAGCTTCCTCTGTGCAGGCAGAGGGGGACATGCTTTTCTTCCTTTTTCTTTACAGTAGATTTGACATATAATTTGAAGTTTGTGGCGCATGTGAAAAACTGTGTCCCTGTGACAGAAGCAACAACATTTTAAGTCTCAGCCAAGGAATGGTGTGTAAAGGTTGTCATAGTAATTAAATAGTGAGTAGATTTTCTGGAGGGATCCATTCCCAGATCTTTCATAATGTTGTAATCAATTAAACAATATTCTTTTGGATACATCTGGGTAAGAAGTGTTAAATAAGTAAATAATTTTTTTAATCACTGCTTTCAATCCTCCTGTTTCTATCACTACTTGTGAATTTGACTCCAGTAAAATAATTTTACACTGTCATGAGCTGGGAATGTCCCTTATGTCCTTGGAAAGGACATCACTGTTTGTGTGTCGAAAACATGTGTGGGTTTCTAGCAAGAAAGCAGCAGGCCCATTGTCCAAGAGCTGGTGTTTTTGCTGAGCTTTTCAGATGAGCAGATCCTGTAGTGCCTCTCCTGCTTGTCAGCAGTGATGGTGTGTGATTTTTACCATTTCTGGTATCGATGACGTGGGAGTTTTGTCCCAGCAATCACAGTGCAGTACAATCATCCTTCAGAGCCCAGGGGGATCTGAGAACTGAGACCCTAACATCCCATATGTCACTGAATGGATTGGAAACTAAAGCAACCTTGAAGGAACAGGGAGGGGTAATTCACCTGAACTGCCAAAAGTTTTGTCCATTCACAGTTTTGATGTGGATGGAAAACTCATCCATCAGATTGCACCATGAGCTGGTTACAATTGGAGGAAAAGAGATTGTTTAACAAATTGTGGTCCAGAAACAAGCTCAAAGCACTATTAAAAAACTGCAAATCTTAAAGAGAAAAAATTGAAGTATTGCTTACTTAGGCAAGAGTGTAGGAGGGAGGAAAGGAAAAGTGAAAAGATACTTTCCACTAGTGCAATTACCAGAAATGATGTGGCTGCTCTTTGAAGCAGTGATTCAATATGTTCTTGTCACCCTGTTATTGCAGATCAGAATTCTTTTATCAGTCAGCCTTGTGAGGACAGTGCTTTCACTTCATTTGGAAACACAGGAGGATAAAAGCTGGTTTATGTCTCACACCTGAACAGTAGAACCACTAAAGATTGGTATGGAAAGAGATGGACCACGTATGTATTAGTTCCTGTATAGTTTTCTACTTTGATTTATGTTTTAACAGCTTAGTCTTTCTTTCTTACCCATGGAGGAATTTAAATACTTTATTTTTTTCAAAGTTTTGTAATTTAAGCACTCTGATTTCCTCAGTGTCACCAAAGTAAGCAAGCCAAACACACAGTGCCTATAGTCTGCACAGAACTGCAGGTGCTACACATCTGTCTGGTGCTAAACTTCTGGAGAACCCCCATATAACTGAATATAAATTATATTCTGTCAAATCCAACACGTTTCACTCAGTAAAGGAGTGGCTAAATAACTTATTTATGGCCTGTGATATGCACAAAGTCAAAATGGGTTTGTCTACTGGTTCCTTCTGACCTCAGATTATATTAATTGGTATATTGTAGATGGCCCCACCCCAAAAACAAATTCTGGAGAGCTGGGGCATTATCTGGTGTAGTTATTAGCTTGTGTTGTAGTTATTTACCTCCTTTTAGCAGGAGGAGTAAGGTGAAGGTCCAAGAGCAAACTAGAACTGAAGGAATTTTTGAGGAGGAGGATCAGAGACAAGTGCACACTTCACCATGACAGTCTGATCTCTGCACAAAACCAAAGGATTCTTGGTTAATACTATTTGACCTGACTGGAATGTTCTTCCATGCTTTTCTAGACCTCTAGGGAAGGATTCCTTGAAAGGGGGGGCTACCAGAATGTTTCCATCTGTGCCTTAGGTCTTGGTGTCGTGAGTGCATTTGATTAATCGTAAGTCATCCCTTGTTCCCCCTAAAATGATGCTGTGTGGAAAATTCAGAGAATGGAGAAAGTGGGGCTTCCCTGGCTTTTTAGAGGGTTTTATCTGTGTGGCATTGCTGTGACTCTTTCAGACTGAGGTTGTGAGTAACTGTTTCTATGTTTGGAAAAAATTGCATCTTCCCTGCTGAATCCACCCTCTCCACTGCCATGTGCAGGAACACGTGTGCACACATGGACATGATCCCTGCCAAACCCAGAAACAGGCAAGGGCTTCAACCTCTGCACCTGAAATGGCTTGAAAAGACAAAGGGCTATCAGATGTATTGAAAAACTGCATCCCTTTGTATCTTCAGGATTTTTTACATTCCTTTGTGTGTGTGTGTTTGTGTTCACATGTGGTAGAAAGGACAGGGACAGGTAAATTTAGTTTTGTTTGCTTTTAAAGCCCAAAACACCTAAAAAGGAGTTTGAGAACAGGAGAGGGAAGCTTGCTGCAGAAATGTTCAGTAAGATAATGCTTACTTGAAGGCTGTTTCACTTTCTCAGTTTCTGGAGTGGATAATTCTTGCTTTGATGTTGCCAGCTAGAAGGTACTGCTGAAAATTGAATGGCTTTTTCACTGTTTTCTTCTTTTTCTTTCTATTTTTTTGGTTCCTTCCCACCTTTGTTGCATGGAAAACCACCAAAAAACAAAAGGCTGATGACATCCAGTTCAGGTTCTTTAGGGATTCAGTCACACCAGTCTTGGAGGGCTATGGACAATTGTTGATAAGTTCTGGGAGTTTTTTTAATTAGGTGAGACATCAAGAGTTTTTCTATTGCTCCTCAATTTATACACTTGAGTTGCAGAGGAGATTATTTGGTTTGGTTTTGGTTTTGGCTTTGTTTTTTTTCACAGGACCCCAATATTTTTCCCACAACATCAGTTAAAGCTCTGGTTTTCTTTGGTTTCATTCTTGGTTGGATTTTCTGCTCATATACTGTGTAGAGCAGAAGTGGTAGAACCAAACTGTAGCTTTATCTGTAAAACTTGAGTTCTTCAGTTACAGTTACAGTAACTTCAGTTACAATGAAACACACCTTTGGTATAGAATGGAATTAATTTCTAGCCACTGTCTGAACTTTTTATATCTGAACTTTTCCAACATGAATAAGGTTTTCAGACAAAAGATATCAATGTTATGAGCAAGCCTTTTAACAATACAGTGAATAAATAGATTGTTTTCTTCTTCTAACCTTGTATTTAAATGTGTTTTAAGTGAATGGAATTCCTTCTTGTTAAGAAAAAAGGAAAAAAAAAAAACTTGAAGGTATGAGGACTTCAGGTTGTGCTCTTGCTTTGCTTAGGTTTCCTGTTCTGTTGCATGACAACTTCTGTTGTGCTGTTGATATGTAGCACTTTTCAGTAGGTCTGTTAAATTGTGCAATGCATTTTTTTATATTTACAACCAAAACAATAAAGGATATTTTTTGGAAGAAACTGGTTGTAATGCCTTTGTTTTCTGACTGGAGGTGAGGAAATGGTGAGTAGAGTTATTCCTAGACCAGGGTCAGCACCTGGCGTTCTTTTTGCAGCTCTGAAAGGTGACAAGAGCTCATTGCCCTGTGAACACTGCTGGAGTTACCTTTGGATCTGTGTGTTTGGCATTCCCAGAGCAGGGCTCTGTATTCTCCATGGAGCTGCTGAAGTTTGGTCTCCTTTTGGGGTTGGTGTTGGGCACTGAGCTACTTAAGTTCATTTTAAAAATGAAATTAATAAATCTGCCTTTAATGACTGGTTTTTGTTTTTCCCTGGTAGGATACTCCAGCTCTCTGTGCTTCAGTTGCCACCTCCCTGGCATTTTGGATTTTCTTGCCTAGTGGAAGCAGCAGTGAGGCTCTAGTTGAAGTGAAAGGTAATAGAAGAGTGAGAAGAAGGATTTTATTTTAAAATCACCGCACAAAAGTTTGTGCTGGTTGATGTTATCCTTGTGATTGGTTCTTTTGATTTGGTTTTTCTGATGAGAACTTCTGATGAGTCAGGTCTGTAGTTCCAGGAGGTACAGCAGGGTTCAAAAACCTTGCATTTCATTTTTCAGAAATCACAAGCTTGATCTCACATAAAGCATTTTGGTGGGAGTGAAGAGCAGTGATAAAACAACTCTTCAGCTTTCCTTCTCTCTTGACCAAGCACTACAAATGCCAGAGTTATTGCAGTGATGCTATCAAAGCTCTCTGGGAGGAAGCTGTGGCTGCAGAGCACTGTTTCTGTATTACTGATTTAGTGGTGATTTCAGGGAGGCTGCTGTAACTTCAGCTGAAGTGCCAAAAGAGTTTTGAAGTGGTTTCTTTTTGTGGCTGGCTCTGCTAATCCTTGAACACTGCCAAAAGTGGACCTACACTTGCTCTCTGGAAACGATGCCAAATGAAATCACTGCTATAAGTGATTTCAGAGCCCAGGGCTCTCTTTTTTTCTAAAAGAATTAAATAGAATGCTCAGTAGATTTTTATTTATTTATTTTAACCTATATTTTCCCTCAGGAGCTCATCTCTGCACTTTCTCCAGGAGGTGGGCAGATGAGGAGTGGTTATTTGGGTGCTGGGGAAGTCCCCTGTGTGCAGACCCAGAAGAGCCCCTGTTGTCATCCAGAGAGATGTTTAACATGCTCCAGCTTCAGAACAAGGTGTGTGTGTCACACCCCCAGTGCCTTTCCACCACCAAATGGAAACAAACCCAGGAAAGAAGAGACTCATCACATCCCTGGGCCCTTCTGACACTCCTTACAGAGCCCATCTGTGGCTCCTCCATCCCAACCCTTCATTCCTCATAGGCCTCAAAACTTTGTTTTCAACCAGGATAAAAGGGAACTGCACATCAGGAGGTCTTTGTTGGTGACCAAATGATGAGAGCAGAGATGCTCCCTGTGGCCCAGGTGTTTCCCCAGCTTGCAGCCCTCCAGGGGAGGATTTATCTGAGGATAAAGGACCAGGGAAGGCCACAGGGCTGCAGGTGCTCTCTCACTGTTCTGCCTGGGGCTGGTGCCTTTTCCTCTCTGCAGTGATTGTCTGAGTGTTCCCCCCTGGGGCAGAACAGCTCTTCTCTCTCAGGTAGCTCTGCCCATGACGTTTGGACTGACCTGACTCACTCTGGCATCTTGTTAGCACTGCTGAGGAAGCATTTCCCTTTCTAAGGAAAACCCTTTTGCTGAGCTATTTATATCTGTAGAAGGTGAAACAAAAGCCATGCATGGGAGGGGAAACCACAGGGAGCAGCCCTGTATAATCCTCTGGTTCAGCAAGGCTTAAGTGGTTTGTGTCAGTCCTTCACAGTGGTGATGTTTGAGCCCTCAGGGTGTGAATGTTTTCCTCCTCTGAGAGGTTTGCTGACCCCACCTGAAAAGGTCAGGCAGGTGTTGCTTCAGCCTTGGGGATAAGCACAACCCCAGAAAGTGATTTTTTTTTTCCAACCACTTTTTTCTACTAAAAATGAAGGAGAGGAGGTTGGGGTTTTACCTTCTTTGTGTCACCACTATGTGACATCTCCAGTTGTGTCTGAAATGGGGCCTGTTTGGGAGCAATTCTTCCCCTGGCTCCAGCAAGGAGCTTGGTCCCTCAGTTCTTTTTGGGAAGCTTGAGTGCTTTTCTAGGATCCCCCCTCAGACTCTTGTGGGGCTGGCAGTGTAACTCAGCTGATATCAAACCCACTTTTCCCGGAGAAGTCTGAGCAGAACAGGGCCAGTGCAAAGTATATTGTAAAAAAGAATTAGTAAAAAGAGAATCCAGCAATATTTGTGTTATTTAATGTTTTAATTAAGTTCCAGTTTCTATCCAAAGGTGGTAACAGGAAATGAGTAAAACCATTCATCTACAAAGTAGCAAATAGATCCCTTTCAGTATTAAAATATAAGAGCTTAAAATATGAATAAATAAATATATAAACTAACCGCTTAAATAGATTTATAAAAATAGATGTTATACAAATTCATAAATAAAATTTACTAGTAGAGAAGTACAAAATCAGCCTGCTGACAATCAATTTTTCTTTTGAAAAACAACCGCAAGGTAAAAATATAAATAACATTAAAATTACTGAAATTACACTTTCCTGATTGCTTATATGTGTCAGGGCTGGTTAATTAAATTACCTTGACTCACTTTAGTCCATCCTTATTATATGCTGTTGCAAATAAGACAATATAAATAGTTTTATAATAAATACATTCAATAACACATTCATCCTTTAAATATTAAATTAAACTGGATTATATAGTTCTAGAGAATAGCAAGTACATTATCAATGTTCATCCTGGCATCAAACTGATCCCACAACCCCTGGTAGGTCTCATTTACAGAGACCTATCCTCAAGTTGCTTTTTCATCCTAGCACATCAAACTTCAGAGTACAGCTTTCCTGAGAGTTGCATGATGTCCTCATACTTCTTTAAAACCCACCAGATGTAGGTTTTGGTGTCTGCGTGGCCCTGGGGCTGCAGCTGGGGCAGCTCCTGGCTGCTGCAGGTGTAGAAGGCAGAGCCTTGGCGCACCGTGGTGTTCAGCTGGTTGAGGTTGGCCTGGACCACGCCTGTGGAGCTCTTGCTGCAGAAGGTTTCTATGTCACCTGCCAGGGTTTTCAGAATGTTGAGGATGTGGTGCAAAGCACAGCAGTTTGCCTGGAAAGCTGGACACGTGGGTATTCTCTCTGCCTTTTCTCTGGCCGTGGACAGAACTGTCTGGGGCTTAGGGTGGAATGTTGCAGAGATGCAGTTGTTCTGTGGGGAAGGAAGAGGAGAGAAATTGTTAAATTGTTGGTCCTTTGGTTTCCCTTTCTCATTTGTGTTTCAATCTTGTATTAACACCTCCATCCCTCTGATCAAGCAGGCATTGCACAGAGTTTGCAGATCCCCATGCCTTGTTTGCCTTGGTTCTCAGAGGAAATGTCAATGTTGATTTTTGTCAACATACTCTTGGGAGCACAGTCCCAGGAACTGAACTTTGTCTGAGGCATTGGCACCTGGGTTCAGTGAACTATTTTCCTTTCTAAGGAAAGGATAGGTGAGCAGGATTTTTAGCAGAAGTGCCCAAGCACTAGGGTCAGACTGAAGGGCAAAGCAATTCTCACCAGTGACCTGACTAAATCAGTTTCCAGTGATCTCACTAAATTCCTGCAAGAAGATGCCCAAACAGGACTCAGGAGACTGAGAAGGAACAGGAAGATCCCTCAGAAGCAGGCAATGACCTGAGGCAAAGTCATCCAAGCTCTCTGCAGCTGCCCTTGCTCCAACTGCCCTGAAATATCACAATGAACACTTTCCTTCTTGCATGAAATACAGGGAGCCTACTTTAGGTTTTAACCCAAATACTTATTTTCTGGTGGTCTTTCTAGTGTTTTATAATAATTCAAGAGATTTCTCCACAGACATAGGCACAGCACATGGAAAATGGTGCACTTACATAGAATTCAAACAACTCATGAGCTTTCTGCTGTATTACTGATGCAAAGGTTGGTATCTCTGTAGTGAAACGATTCTGCCTCTGTCCTGTAGTCACTCTGCTTTCTGATGTCTCTGTCGGTGCCATGGAGCCCAAAGGAACCAGTAAACAGAAGAGGAAGATTGCAAACCTGTTGATCTCTGCATTCAGATGAAGAGAGGAAACCAAAAGGAAAGAGAGAATACAATGATTAGTCTCAGTCTTCTGCATAGCTTTTTGCAAATCTTAATAGCTTTGTGCAACATGATGCATTTTTAAAGCATATAGGCATGAAGTGGCTGAGCTAGAGGTGAACATCAACCAGAGCAACCTTACAGCCTGAAGCAAGGGTAAGTCACACCCACCTGCTCTGCCTTCCATGGTGGGATGGGACAGCAGTGGCTTGGCTTGGAGCTGGTTCTGGAGCTTCTGCCTGCCTGGAGTGCTGTGGAGGGGGCCAGCCAGGCTGCATTTAAGTGCTGTGGAGTCCTGCGTCAGTGGCTCCCCCACAGGATTTTTTTTTCTTTTTTTTTTCTTTTTTTTTTTTGCCAGTGATAATTTGGGTTTTTTTCTTTTTTGAAAGATTACATCGAAAGTTGATTCAAATGTGTCTTCACTGATTGTGATCTACGTGCTCAGTTTCAAACTGACATAGAGGGTGTCCTGTGTCATCTCTGTGACTCGGAGCTTGCCTTGGCCATCCCATCTAAATCCTTGGGCTCTCCAAAGTGTGGGATTTAGAACATAAACCCTTGTTTTATTTATGAAGGTGGTTGGAAGCACATTATTGCTGCCCAAAGCCATTGCTTCTCCTGCAGAGTCAGTGTAAGAGTGACCCAATGCAGGGAGTGAGAAAGGCTCGTGGGCAAGATAGTTCAGGCCTCCAGTTCCATGTATAAATTCCTTTGCTGGATGCCTGTAAGACCCTGTTCCCAAGGGATGCTCAGGATCCCCCCTCCCCACCCCTGTCTCCCCTGAGGCTGTTTTCTGCTTCTGGTAATCAAATGCAGGAAATTCTCACACACACCAAAACAGAATAGGTGCTAAGTAATGCCAAGGAAGAGATGAGTTACCATGGCCAACAGAAAGGACAGTTCTGGCAGACACTTCTTTTATTTGAGCGTTTTATTATTATTTGGTGGAAAAATGGAGACAGAGAGAAAGAGAGATGTTTCTTTGTGCGTAGTGTTCTTTAGGAATGTCCCTACAAAGGCAGTGGTGGGTACAGATGGCTCCTTTCTGGCAGAAGGGTGATCTTGGAGGGTTTCTTGTTTGGAAGCACCAAACCTGCAGAGATGCAGTTGGTCAGTGGCCCACAGGAAGATCTGTGGAAGGTGCAGGAGCTTGTACATAAAAGATGCCACTGGGCACTGCCAGCCCTCTTCCAGCTGTCCCAAATGGGCACAGCCAGGGAGTACTGGGATCAGGTCTTCCCACAAGAGCAGGAGTATCTCTTTGTGCAGCACTGAAGGCAATAGGGCCAAGCTATTTTAAATAGTGATGCAAATAAAAGAAGAAGAATTTTTACAGCTTCGCTTTTCTACAAAACACAATTCAACCAGTGGTAATTTTCTTTCAAAGACTTTCGGAAGATTTTACTTCCTTTTCTCCTAAGGACAGCACATTACCTGGTTATTCCACTCCAGGACATGCCATTATCTCATAGCCTGTGCATGATGTGCACATCCTTTCCGGTCTCTACAGGGCTGTGATAAGCTGCTGAGCTGATAAGGGAGCAGGTCAGCATCCGTCCTGTAAAACCCAACCTGAGAAGTTCAGCTTTCCACCACGTAACCATCAGACCTCACAGAGCAACTGCAATTCATTTGGTGAAGTTCTGCTGACACATGCTGCTCTGTCAGCCCTCTAAAATGGAATTTGTGGCCATTGCTGCAACACCTATCGCTGGAAAAAGGAAATTAATCTCTGCCTGTGGAGACCTGGTGCTGACCTGAGACACAGCTGTGGCTTTTGTTCCTTGAGCTCACCTACTTTTTCCAAGTGTGGGAGCTGGTGTTTTCAGCTGTGAGCTTGTTTTCTGGCCTTACATGGTTGTGTGGCAATGCCCTCCACGTAAAGGGGAGAGCTGGGCTTTTGGAGCTGACTGAGACCCTGACTGCTCCTTCCCTGAAGCCTGAGTGACACTCAGGACACAGATAAGGGAAATGGCAAATTCCATGCCACAGGTCCCCAGCCAGGGAAGAATGCTGATGCTGCACCTTGCAAGTGCAGCATGAGGCCACCTGCCCTTTCTCTGGTGGGGAGCAGCCCCCAGAACTCAGTGGGAACCAGAAAAGCAGGGATTTATTCCCAGCCGGGCAAGCTTGGTGCTGTTCCAGACCTGCTCCACCCTCTGCTTGGAGAGTTTGGTTCCATGGCCCCATCTCCTAGCGACGGGGACAGAGCCACCGAGCCAGGGGATTCCCTGCCGGGCTGGGCTGCATGGCAGCACCCCACAGCGTCTCGGCTGCTTTTCAGGACTACCTGCAGCACCTGGGGCTGCAGGACTTCCCCTGTGGCCTCGGCAGCTGGGTAGGGGTCTGGGGGGCACAGCCGTGGGACGTGGCACAGGGCTGCCATTGCCTCTCCTCTCTCCCTGTCCACAGAACAAATCCCGCCTCAATGCCCACAGGGGCCCCCAGGCACAGCCCCTGGGGCTGGAGGAGGCTGTGCCACCGGGAGAGGAGACCACTGGGGTGCTGCTGGAGCTGCTGAGAGACCAGCGCAGCCCCTGGGCACTGCCCTCTGACTGCAGGCCCCAGGCCCAGCACCTGAGGGAGGTGGTCGTGCTGGCACCCGAGCTCCTCCGGGGCTCCAGGGTCTTCCAGCTCGTCAAGTCCCTGCGGATTCTCGACAAGGGGGTAAGTGCAGCTGCTGGGGCCCATAAAGCTGTGCCTTGCTGCTGTCAGGGAAAACGTGCTGGGAAAAGGACACCTTGCCATCCCAGGGGCTTCCCAGGAGTAGAGCTTCTCCCCACAGCCTCCCCAGGATGTTGTGCTAATCCGTGCCACACAGGTGTCACACAGATCAAGATGTGTCCATGTCACCCTGGCCACGAGGTGCCTCAGGGACAAGTTGGCCAAACCCAGCTCTTTGCAGGTGGAGGAGGTGGATGAGGGTCTGCTGCGGTTCCAGCAGCTGGAGGAGCTCATCCTCAGTGCCAACCACATCAGCAGAGTAACCTCAGCCCACCTGCCCCGGACCCTGAAGGTGAGTGAGGGGGGTCTTGTGCAGGATGGGACAGGAATTCCCATGTGGGAACACAGGGAGAGCCAAACAGCTCAAGGGGGTGCCAGGAACAGCTTGTTGCCAAGGTGTTTGTTGTTCCTTCTGTCCTGGGCAGGTGCTGGAGCTGTGCTGCAATGCTGTGGGTGATCTGCAGGACCTGTGTGCTCGGCCACCCCCGGAGCTCCAGCACTTGGGGCTGGGCCACAACCGGCTGTGTGGCCCTTCCCAGGAAAAGCACCTCACTGTGGATTTCTGGTAATGCCACAGGCTGAACGTGGGCTCCTGAAGGGGAAATGAGCAGATGTGAACAGCTGATCTCAAGCCACAGAGGTGGCCCTTTTTGGGAAAATACAGAAGGGAAAATTTTGGAAAAATTCAGAAGGGCTGTTTCTTTGCTCTGTGTCTACTCTCTGTGCAGAGCAGTTTGTCTCTGCTGTCTTCTGTCTCTTGCCCAGAGGTTGTTTTGGTCCTTAGCAAGGTGTGGAATGGGGAGATCACCAGGGGAACTGCCCTGACACCCTGCCCATCACAGTTCCATTTCCCTGGACAGTTTACTTTGTCCATCTCCTTCCCAATGTCACTGCTGGAAGTCTGTAAGCATCTGAAGCACAGACTGCATCACCAAATGGTGCAGTGGGGTCATGAATTCATGCTAAATAAATGTTTTTGTGTTGTGGGGCAGACTGGCAATGGACTGTACGGCTCAGGAATTTGGAACTGGCCTCCAGATTGGATTCCTGAGTTCATCCCAGTTTGTGCTGGGGAAATATGAATTTTGTTTATTTTTTTGCTCCAGGGCTGTAGCTTTCTATCTTCACGTAGGCTGGCTGCCTTACATCCTTCCCTGGGTTCTCTCCTTAGGCCAAACCTTGTCTCCCTTGACCTGAGCTTTAACAGCCTCACAGACCTGCTGGGGCTGGTCTCCCAGCTGTCCACCCTGCAGAGCCTCCGCATCCTGGTGCTCCAGGGGAACCCACTGGCTCTGATCCCCACTTACAGAGGCTTCCTCGTGGGCAGCCTGCCCAAGCTGTCCATCCTCGATGACATCTACATATGGCCTGAAGAGAGGCAGCAGTTCCACGGGCTGGCAAGGAAGCCAGGTGAGCCCTGCCTCTGAGCCCGCCCGTGCTGACCCTGTGATTCAGGGGTGGGGTTTGCATTGTGGTTGTGTAATTACAAGTGAGGTAGTTTCAGTTTTAAGCCCAAGAACAACCCATCCCAGCCCAGCACTGCCTCAGTGTCCTGGCCTGCCTCAGCTTTTCTTCCCAGACACCATCTGGTTTCAGATCATGCGTTTCCCTCCTAAGCTGTGCAAGAGAAACATCAGTACTGGGGAAAGTGCTCACCTGGGGCTGCACTGTCTGCACACAGCAGTGCCACCTCTGTGGCACATCCCTGACTGGGATGGGAGCAGGAGGCTGGGGACACCTGGCATGGGAAACCTCTCTTGGTGGCCCCTACTCAATGAGTTTATGTGCTGGATGTGCTTTTTGGAGAGTCAAACGTTGAAGGAGCAGAGCAGCCAAGCCAGGAGGTGATTGCATGGCTTTGTAGTGACGCCACGTGGCAGTGGTTTGTCACAGCATTTGCACAGGCTGGCACTGAGGGATGCCACAGGTGGGACATGAGACCTGGAGGTTTCTGCTTGCTCTGTTCCTTCCTCTCTCTGGAAGGGAAGTGCTGCAGCTTCATGGCAGGATGGTTTTCCTTTCAGAGCTGATCAGGAGTGAAGCACATGTGGTTGTGAGCATTGGGGAGATGAAGGGACTCCCTAATCCTGAAGATTTTCAGCAGCTGGAGGTTGGCTCTGAGGGTCCAGTGATCACCTACAGCTACTATGTGACCTACGAGTTTGCAGAGGCAGAGGAGCTTGAGGACAGGGGCAGTCCTGAGGTTGGTGTTTGATTGTGCTCCTGGAAACAAGCAGCATGGCAGGACAGAGCAAGGGGATCTGCATCTCCAGGCTATGGGGTGATGGGCCTGGTGTGGGGAGCAGCAGTGCTGGGGACAGAATTCCCATGTGGCTGCATCCAGCTGTCCACATTCCACATCTCTCTTGGGGAGCCCAGAGCTCTCTGCATGTGAGAGGGAGCTCACAGCCCCCCTCCTGCTGACTGTGGCAGACCTTGTCTCTTGGGCCTGGTGTGGGGAGCAGCAGTGCTGGGGACAGAATTCCCATGTGGCTGCATCCAGCTGTCCACATTCCACATCCCTCTTGGGGAGCCCAGAGCTCTCTGCATGTGGGAGGGAACTCACAGCCCCCTCCTGAAGGCACTGAAGTCCCTTCTTCCCATGAGGGTGGGCTGGGGAATAGGATTTTGGAGACAAATCTCTCTGTTCCAGGGAACAAAAATCCCCCAGAGTCCCACAGTGGCCACGCTGGATGAGGACAGCTCTTCTCAGGACACAGGAGAAACAAAGAGCCATCAGGAGCCTGCAGCCACAGAGGAGCCCAAGCCCCACTCTGGTAATGAGGAATTACAGATCTTCTGTTCCATGTCTCAGCTCTTTGTGGGGTGTGGTGGCATCAGGAGGTCCCTCACAGTGCCAGCTGGGCTCTTCCTGGGACTGATGGATAATGACCTGGCACCAGCTGTGTCCTGGGGGGTCCTTCTGGGAAAGAGAGGTCTCCTCACAACTTTTTTGTGTCCCTACACAGCAAGGGTGTTCTCCACCCCTGGACAGCCCTGGGCAGACACCATCGACTGCAGCTACAGGAAGGAGCACATTGCCAAGGACTTGGTGGGGCTCAAGTCCTACCTGGAGGCTGGAACCACTGTCTCTGTTGTGGAGGAGAAGGTGAGGGTGTGGCTGAGCTGGATGAAGGGGAAAGAGCTGCTGGGAGGCCCAGCCAGTGGTATCAATTCCCTCTGGGAGGGAGGCTGGGATGCCAGGGACCTGGGCCAGCTCCTCTCTCCGGGCAGGTGCTCTCGTGGCCTGTGGATCCAGAAGAAAATGCTGTCACAAATAAGGAAGGACAGGAGCTGAAGAAGAACAGTGCAAAGGTAGGTTGCAGGAGAGAACAATCACCAAATTCTATCTGAGTTGCAGAAACAGTGATGGGAGAACAAGGACCCCTCTTCTGGGTCAGTCTGGTGTGTCAGAGAGTCAGACCTCTCCCAAAGTTCCTCCCTTCTGTGGGGGGAAAGCAGCAGCACCTTGGCCAGGATGCAATGGTGGGCAAGGGGCTGGGTTGGGGTTGCTTCTCTCTGATAAAGAGACCCCAACCTTCTGCTGAGGCCTGTCCCCGTGTCCAAGGACAAACAGAAAAAGAAGAAGAAGAAGAAGTCATATGAATATCGCAGTGACCCTCCCATTCGGAGCACCCTGGGCACCACGAGGGTGACCCTGGAGACTCTGCTGGCCACCAAGGACCTGGTGACAACTGTGTGTGACTTTGGGATCCTGATCCCTGAGAAACCACCAGTTCTGGAGGAGAAGGTAAGGAGCATGTCCCAGGGCAGGTCTGCAGGCTGGGGTTCAGCAAATGCCTTCTCTGGCCTGGGCATCCATCCATCCATCCCTTCCTTCTCTCCCCAAAATGGGGCTGAAATAGCCCTGCCTGACCACCATCCATTGCTGCTGGTGTGGTTATTTAAGGCTGATATTAGTGAGCAATTCTGCTACTTTTTCTGGGCCTAGGAAAAGAGATGAGTTTATTTTTCCATTCCAGAATGTGTAAGCAGCCACTCGTGCTTCCTCTGGTGCTCTCTCTCAGCATGGCAGCACACACCAGCTGTACCAACTTTCTGTTTCCTGGATTCTCTTCTCTGAGCAGCCACTCTGCTGTGCTTCTGCTCCCCCTCACCTCTGTCCCCTGCCCCTGAAATCCCAGTGACAGCACCCAGATGATGACAGCTGGCACAGGACTGAAGGAGGGCAGTGAGTTTCAACACAGCCTTACTGTGGAAACATCTCTCTCCACAGGAGGTAAAAAAAGGCAAAGACAAGAGCAAAAAGCCCAAAGGAGAGAAAGGAGAGCAGACCAGCCAGAAAACCAAAGGTGACAGAGGGCGGGGTGTGTGAGAGAGCAAACAGGAGCAGGGCACGGCCACCCTGCCAGCTCCAGGAGCGGGGACTTACTCACATCCTGAGCCTGGGGCTGTGAATACAGACATTCACTGCGGGCTCTGGGAATAGACACAGCCCGGACTCTGTGCAGTCGGTGTCTGCACAAGCAGCCAGGGTGGGCTGCCAGCTGCCCTGGGAGACTCACACCTACGGCACCCTGTGCCAGGGGAGAAGGGCAAAGCAGATTTTTGGGTGAGAAAAGTGCTGCCCACTGTGTCGGCTGCCAAATGTGGGCGGTGGCATGGGCAAGGGCTGCCCGGGATGCATAATGAGCTCCTCATTCACTGCCAGCTCGCATCTCCCAGCTCTTTGCAGAGGGGATTGTTGTTCTCTCTGGTTTGGAGATGAGATGCAAGAGAGCCCCAGGTGCCCCAGCCAGCCCATGGCAGGGCTGGGAACAGATCCAAGTCTGCTGTCACCCACCAAGAGACCACCCTGACCCTGCTGGGTGTGTCCCCTGCCTCCCCAGTGCAGAGCAGCAGCCTTGCTTAATCTGCCAGAGGCAAACCTCATCCTGCCTTTTGCAGGTTATTTTTCCATCAATCTTGGTTCTGACTGCAGAAATAGCAGTGCCAGCACATTGGAGGGGTAATGCAAGAGCGGCAGGAAGTGGGAGAGGGAACGGGTGGCCAAGCAACTCTGGAAAGCTGCTCGTGGGTCAAGGAGGGCATGGAGAGGGCCAGGCCTCCCAGCACTGCTCAGAGCTACCAAAGGAGCTTTGTTTTTCTGCTCTGGCATCAGATTCAAGGGTGTAATTAACCCACAGAGCTCCAGGCTGCTTTCCTGTGCCCTGTCACCCACAGCAATCTTTGTGGGGCTCTCAGAGCTCTGCAGTCCTGGCCTGTGTCTGCATTCACACAAGTTGGTGGCCTCCCCTAGCGACCTGAAAAGAAGAAAACTCAGTGAATTGCTGTCCTCCACAAGATGATGTGTATTTTCAATGTACACTCAGCCTGTTGCTGAAACAGGCAGTTGCTGACAAACAGCTCAGCCTCAGCAGTGGTTGTTTCTTCCTTCCTCCCCTCCCTGCTGCGTGGTCAGTGTGTGCAGGAGGTTTCCCTTCAGCTTGAACAAAGGTAAAAGTGCACAGAAATTCTACTACTGCAGGAAACCCACAGCAGTTAGAGATTTGTGCTTAATTTGGTGTCCCCCTGTGCCTGTGCAGGTGGGGGCTGGCTTGGCTGCACTGTGGGGCCACTGAGAGCATATTTCAAAGTGTGAGTGCAAAATCCACAGTGCCTAAAGATGAGCTGCCCCACAGCTCGCTACACCCGCTGTCCCATGGCTGTGACTCACCAAGTTGTGGCTTTTGTGGGGGGCTGCTCGAGCCCTGCTGAGCTCAGTGTCTGCCCCGTGAGTCACCAGCTTTTCCGGGGGTGTTTGACACCTGCACATCACCTGGGGACTGCCCTTGGAGCTGTGACAGTGGCCGTGCCCCGGGGGACAGGGGATGACTCCCAGTGTGTCCAGCAGGGCTGGGCAGGGACCAGCACTCTCACAGCCGGGAGCTGAGGCTGATTTGCATCCCTCAGTCAGCAAATGCACACAAATAATAAGTCTTCTCAGAGGAATTGGGATCACTTCCAGACGGCTCAAAGAGGAAAGGCAGTGGGCTTTGTCACAAGCCAACCATTTGCCCAGACACTGAAGGATGTCTTCAGAAGTAGTCTCACGTAGGTCTCATTTTACCTCACACTTGATTTTCCAGGATCCTTGAAATAATTTATTTCTGAATCTTTCTTTTGCCCTAGAGCAGTTTCACAACAAAAAGAAAGGCTGCACCCAGGTCAACTAAAGATGCTTTTTGGGCTTATCATCCAAAATCATATTCAGTTTCCTGCTGAGGCCCAGTCACTGCTGACACCCTTGCACACTGCTGCTTTTGGGATCATTTACTCTCTTAAGACAGTGACAAATGTACTTCTTACCGCAGGAAAAGGAATAAACAAAGACACTGCTGAAGTGGAGGAGGGTCAAGAGCTCCAGCCGGTGCCGCTGACAGTTCGATTCCAGATGCAGCTGCTTCGATGGCCCTTGGCAGCCAGCACCCAGAACCAGGAGAACGTGGCCATGGGGAAGACTCAGTGATGTGTCCATAGCAGAAGCATGAGTGGAAATAAACCACACGGGAACGCTGCGTGGAGCCTGGTTCAGCCGAACCGCCAGAGCTGGGAGCTGCCCCGGGGCTCCTGCTGCTCTGTGGCTGGTGCTGAGCTTCTGCTGGAGCGGGCAGGGGGTGCAGGGTGGGTGTCCGTGCCGGGGACACGCTGCCCCGGGGCCGGTGCCAGCCCCTCGCATCCTCCGCCCGCGGGCGGGGCTCGGCAGCGCCGGGGCGGGGCAGGGGCAGCTCCCGGTGAAGCACGGACGGAACGGAGCTGCCGGTGGATCGCAGCGGAGGCTCCTCCGCACAGCAGGGCGGGGGTTCTGCCGTGCGGGGTCACCGTGGAGCGGCGGCTCCAGCCCGGTCTGCGCGCCCCGGCGGGGCCGGGAGCTCTGGACCGTCCTCACCGGCAGCTCCGGGTCCTGGTGAGACCCGGGGGCAAGCACCGAGACACGTCCCCGTGCCAGGTAAGGTGGGAGGGCACGGCTCGTCTTCATCTGCCCGCCCGGGGCCGGTCCTGCGCCGGATGCTGCCATGTACCCCAGGATTAAAAGCCTCGTGCTTTACACCTTCTCATTCACGCTGCTGGCCTGGGTGTTCTACATGAAGAAGGAGGCGAAGTTGGCAGCATCATCAGCAGAGCAGAAAGCGGATGTGGTGGATCACAGACTGCAGCCCTCGGTTCTGGACAGCGCTGAGCACAGCAAGTGTTTACCCAACTTGACCTTTGCCAATTCTTCCCTCGCCCTCCCGGAGCCTCACCGAGTCTTCCTAACCTACAAGCACTGCAGGAACTTCTCGGTCCTGCTGAGGCCTTCCAGGTGTAGCAAAGACATGTTCCTCCTGCTGGCCATCAAGTCTTCCCCCATCAACGTGGACCGGCGCGTGGCCATCAGGAACACGTGGGGCAAGGAGGTGTCCATCGGGGGCAGGCCCGTCAGGCTGGTGTTCCTCCTGGGGCGCTCCGAGGCCAAAGTCCAGCTGCAGCCCCTGCACCAGCTGCTGGCCTACGAGAGCCAGGAGTTCGATGACATCCTGCAGTGGGATTTTGTTGACGACTTCTTCAACCTGACCCTCAAGGAGCTGCATTTCCTCCGCTGGTTCACGGAGGAGTGCCGGCACGCCAGGTTCGTGCTGAAGGGCGATGATGACGTGTTTGTCAACACCTACAACATCGTTGAGTTCCTGCGGGAGCTGGACCCTGAGCAGGATCTCTTTGTTGGGGACGTGATCGCCAACGCCCGGCCCATCAGGAACACCAAGGTCAAATACTTCATTCCAGAGCTCATGTATGGGGCCACCTTCTATCCTCTCTATGCAGGAGGAGGGGGATATGTGATGTCCAGAGAGACAGTGTGTCGCCTCCAGAGCACCGCAGAGGGCACGGAGCTCTTCCCCATAGATGATGTGTTTGTGGGAATGTGTCTGGCAAAGATGGCAGTGACCCCAAAGAACCACGCTGGCTTTAAGACTTTTGGGATCCAGAGACCTTTCAATCCTTTTGATCCGTGCTTGTACAAAGAGCTGATGGTTGTGCACAGGCTGAACCCAACGGAGATGTGGATCATGTGGACGCTGGTGAAGGATGACAGCATTAGGTGTGCAGTGTCAGTGACACACAGCTACAGCAGGGGCTGGAAAAGGAGCTCCTGATGAGCCCAGGGGTTGTGGCTGGTGACAGGCTACTTAAACTAAAAATCAGGTTGTGGTAGAAATGTCCATTACTAACTGCACTAGAGCTGTCATGATTTGGTTTGCAGTGAGTCTTTTTCTGTCAGGGGTTACTTGAAGCACTTGAATTGTCACAGGGTGGTGTGGTCAGTGGCTTCCCAGCCAGACTGTGCCAGGGGAAGTCACAAGTGCCACCTGCACTGGAGTCTGACTGCTGGCAAAAGTCACTCTCATGTGGGACAGCCAGCAATGACTAAGGAGTGACAGAGCATTTGAAATTTACTTGAAGGCATGGAAGAAAGGCCAGGATGTCCTGCAGGGTCTGCTGTCCCAGGACAGCCACCCCACAGCTCCTACCAGACAGCAGGAGACAGGGAGTGGAGTGGGGAAGGAAAAGCTTGGCCTTAACACAGCAGCGATGATGATCTGGGGAACTGGGCTCTGCCTCCAGCCCTCTGGCTTTTGCAGAAACTCACAAAGGTTTACATGCACTGGAAACTTTGGCACAAACACTTTCTGATCTGGTTTGAGAGGAGCCACGTGTTTTGAATAATCATCGTGGAAGAGTGGCTGTAGCTTCCCATGTTGTGTGGGAGGTGTTTGGTTCGTTTTAATGTTGTGTAGAAATAAAACACTTTTCAAAAGTATTTACATGGGAGTATTCTTAGGTCTTCTGAAAGCTAAGAGCCCTAAAAGCCAGGGAAGGCTGAGATCTGGTGCTGGGTATTTGCATTAAAGAGGAAAATGTTAGTGGAAGTGAATACTTGCTACTTCTTTTTCTGTGAGCTGTTCTCTGCCCTGCTCAGACAAGATGCATTGACACAAAAGTGATAAATCTGAATGTGCTGGAGTTGCTAATTTGAGAAAATATCAAATATAGAACTAAGTTTTGGTGGTTCTTTTGTGAAGCTTATCAGTACCTTGCTGCTAGAGCCGGAGCTGTGGATGAGCAGGAAGCAGCCTGGAAGCCTTAGGGGAAAAAACAAGCAAATGAGTAAAGAGGAAGTGTGTGATTAGAGCAAGCAGAGCCCTTTGTGCTGTGCTGTTGCAATTGCTGTCTGTAGTGCCAGCTGCCCAGCATCCATCCCCCACCAGATGGGAGCTGAGCTTTCAGAAGTGCCCAGGAGGTTCTTCCTTGTCCTATAGACAGATCCTATAGACAGGGACACCCTGAGAGCAGAGGTGTGGCAGCTCTCAGTGGGATGGTGAGGGACTGCTGGTAGGATGGGCTCCCTTGGCCCTCTGGAGCACCTGGGGTAGCTCTGGCTGAGCCCCAGGGCTGACCCAGGCTCTTGGGGCAAAGGTGCCACCTCACAGGAGCTGTTTCTGTGCCAGGTGTGGGTAGGGTTTGTCTCAAAGAATCGGTGGCTGCCCATCCTCAGGGTGGTCTTGTGCAAGTTGTTACTGTGTTTTCTGGCTGCAGGGTTTCATTAAGTGGAGCTGAGAAAGTGCCTGTGTGTAGTTTTAGGTGTGTAAACAAGGCCGAGTGCCAGCAGCAAACCCCAGGTTCTGGGCACTGCTGCTGGTCCTGGAGAGGAGACTGCACAGAGTGGGCACCGTGGTGCCCTGTGAGCTGCTGTGCCTGCACTTTTGTGATCCACTCGATGATTCCCAATGCAAACTCAGGAGCACAGAGCATGATGTCATGTCTGTTGTGGGCTAACCCCCAGCTGGCAGCTCTCCCTTCCTGACAAAGGTGAGGGACTCCTTTCTGCCCTGTTCTGGGGTGGTTGGTGCTCCTCACCCCCACTTTGACTTGGCTGGCCTGACTGGCTGGTCCCAGTCACGTCGGGCTGGGTGTGTGGAGCAGCTCTGGGGCAGGAAGCGCAGTACGTGCAGTGAAACAAGAAGTGGGGTCACAGCAGGGCTGGGAGCAGGCCCTGAAAGGGGAAGAGGGACTTTCCTGGCTTTGCAGGCTCCTGGCAGTGCCATGCAAACATCTGAGTAGTTACTGTGGCATCCTGAGAGGTACACAACTTGTTTGTGCACTCGGGCAGTTGTTCTTCAACTGCACGAGGTACCACAGCAGAGCACTTGTGGTTAGAGGTTGATCTCAGGCTGTATTTGGCTCCTGAGGGCTCAGCTGTGCCACCACCCAAGTAATCCTCTCATCACAGGGTTTTTTTTCCCTAATGCTCCAGCCAAGAGCTGTGTTTGGCACAGCAAACACGGGCAGCTCCCTGCAAGCTGAATTCCAGACTTTGCCATCCTCCTTGGATACAGCAGCACCCAGTGAGGAGCAAGGAAAGTTGGTTTGTTAATTTTCTTTTTACTACTTAATCTATAAATGAACAGTGCTGTGCACCTGAGATTGCATTTGTTCCAAAGGCAGCCAGAATGAGACACCTCTTATGCTGCAGGTAAGAAAATTCCTGGGCAGGCACAACTCAATTTAGTAACACCAACCTGGACACAGATACATCAGATGCTAATCTGTGGTAAAACCTTTGATTAATGTGTGTTTTCTTACACAAACTGGCAGATGGGGATCCAATCAACAGTGATAAAGTTCAAGTGGATGCTGTTCTACAAAGCAAATTTCACGCCAGCTGTCAAGTTAGGAAATGAGTAGTGAAAGACACCCGTGGTTTTGAAACCTGCAGTGAAACATTAAGCTTGCAAAAGAAATAATTATTTCCTGAAATTTGCATTGGGAAGCATTCAAATATGTAAGACTCTTTTGCTCAGTGCTTTGTAGAACAGCACACAGCAGCTGCCAAAACAATTTTGTTTATAACTACAATATACTGAAAATCAAACCTCCCCACTGCTTCCTGGGGAACCTCCCCCAGAGGTGATTCTGGGTGAAATAAGTTGCTGTGCTGAACAAAACTGCACCAAGAGCCTGGGTGACTCCACGGGAAGTTCTCAGCTCCAGAGCAAATATTTCCCCTGACTGCAGCTCAGTGTAATTTGGTGCAGCTGCCAACCCAGAGGTTAAAAACTTCTAAATTCAAATAGAAAGTAGGGCCTAATCTCTTCACCAAAGGAACACACCCACAACGAGCTGCTTTTGCACAGTTTAATAAAGGCATCTCCTCACAGACATCATTTACCTCACAGGTTAAAAACAAGGGTTTTTAAATACACTTCTCTGGCTGATCCCACAAACACACCAGGGGAGCAGCAGGACCCTCCAAGCAGAGACACAATTACCACCAGGCCATCCCTGATAACAGTCTTCACATTTGCATAGATAAAACATTTAAATAAATGAATCCAAAAGTATTATAAACAAGGTAAGTAACAAACAAAACTGAGGCCTTCCAAATACTTGATTTGTAAAGCAATCCTTTTGGGGGAAAAAAAATGGAATCACAGGCTTATTTCAGCAGTTTTACACTATCCCACACTTAAGAGCCTGGGACTGTTCCATCTGTGACTGACCCTGAGAGTTCAGTTCTGTTCAGTCCTCCCGAAGGTAAGGGTCATCATCTGTGTTTTCTAAAACACCCTGAGGCAATGAGTCCTCTCCTCGGGCCTTGATGAGCTCGTCTGTCTGAGCTTCAGCTAATTTGGTCTCTGCTTTCTGGGACAGCAGCCTCACCTCCTGCACCTGGGACTTCAGCACCTGGATGTGGCTGCGGGCTGTCACTGAGGCCTGGTCTGCACCTGCAGGGAAGGATTGACACTCTGGGGTCCAGGAGCACTGGGCAAACCTTCAGCTAAGAAATGGATGGGATTATCATCTGCTCTGCTGTGTTTGTGAGGGCTGTATTAATGCTCAATGCTGTTCATTTACCTCAAGCCTTCTGTCTGCTTTGAGGTGTCACTGCTCCCTTGAATCCTCCCGTCCCACTGGGATGCAGCTGGAGCTGGACAGGAGTGATCCCCTTGTGCCAGTGGCTTTGAGAGCTAAGCCCAGCCCAGTCCCTGAGTGCCAGAACCTTTCAGTCCTCGTCCCATCCTGGCACCTACAGCATGGGAATACCTGTGGCACTGCTGAATTCCCACCATTCTCCTCCCATGCTCCCACAGATTTCTGGGTCTTCTCCAGGCACTTACAGAATTAGGGTGTCAGTATATTCCCTCCCTTCTCCACTTCAGTAACTTTGCCCATTTGCCACAAACCAGTCCACAACTCAGTCTCAGAGCTCTCAAATCTCTCCAGGGAGAAAAAACCCCAAAATTAGTGTATTTTTCTTTTTTAATATAACTAAATCCAGCTGGAAAGTCCTCCAGGATTCATAGGCAGCCTTGGTTCTGTGGCTCCCAGGACTGTGTTTGAGCCTAGCATTTAAAAAGAACTGAACACTTCCCTCAGACATTTTTGGCCATGGTTAGTCTTGACCTAAACCACAAGTGAAGTTTCCAGGCTTAGCTCTCAGCCCACACCTACAGACTTGCAGCCAAAACCAGAAAGTATGTGCTCAGCACCTCCAAAAACCAGGCAGCAGCTGTCAGTCGTGGTGTTAGCTGGGAGTGCACTGTCTGAGCTGTGCTGAGAGAGGGACAGGGGGCTGAGGGACAGGGGCTCAGTGCTGCTGCTCACCTGACTGATAGGCAGCCTCTGCCGCCATCTCCGACAGCCGCAGCGCCGTCATCCAGCTGGACTCCAGCCTGAGGTACTCCTGCTGCTTGGTGCTCATCTGGGAGAAAGAACCAGCAAGGTGTAGCACACTGAGAGCTCTCCCAAACTGGGCAGAGCAGGGCTGGAGAGGCAGGTGGTGAGTGAGGGGGGTTTGTTTGCTCACATCCACTCTGGCTCCTATGACCACCTGCCAGACTGCATCCACCTCCTCCGAGTTCATCTTCCCCAGGAGATTTGAGTACTGCTTGTAGAGAGACACCAGGGTATAAACTGCCTGTGAAGGAATAATTTTGCACAGTTACCACCACAGCTCTGGTGTTGTCTCAGTGTTACCTAGTGTTAATTAGCAAAATTACCCTTCATACACTTGATGTACTGACAAGGATGTGCAAATACATTACTCAAATTGGTAATTTATTTGCAAAATTAAAACTGTGTCTTCTTCTTTCAGACTTAAGTATGCCTCATGCCATCCTTCTGATGGAACTCAGGTCATGGCCTTGGAAAGGCTGGGAAGGGCAATAAAATGCCCAAGAACAGGGAGCTCAGTACACAGGTAATATAAATAACTGTTATGAGTTTCTTCAGCCCCAGTTCTGAGTTCCAGGGTCATTTTGCCTAAGTTAAAAAAGGGACTCCTTAAAAGAGCATGGGGATGGATTCACGCTGACAGAGGGCAGGTTTGGATGGGATGTTAAGGAAAAATTCTTGGCTGTGAGGATGGTGAGGCCCTGACACAGGCTGCCCCATCCCTGGAGTGTCCAAGGCCAGGCTGGACAGGCTTGGAGCAAGCAGGGACAGTGAAAGGTGTCCCTGCTCATGGGACTGCATGAACTTTAGGGTCCTTCCAACCCCAAACCATTCTGGGGCTGTCTAATTTTACCCCAAAACCAACAGTTTAACAAAGCTAAAAGTAACTTCCACATTTGCCGTAGAACAGTGACCCCATGGCTGACATCTCCAACCCCCCCACCCCCTGGGTTAAATTAATTTTGCAGAAGCCCATTTTGAGCGTGGTTTAAGAGTGCAGCTGGTGTCAGAGCTGCCAGCAGTGGGTGGTGCCAGGCGTGGGGCTCACCTTGGTGTACTCGGTGAGCGCCTCGATCAGCGCGTACGCGGTCTGGGAGAGCAGCGTGGCCGTGCTGTCTGTCACCAGGGACACGGCCCTCCTGATCAGGGCGTCGTTGCTCAGGGAGCCCGGGCTCTGCTGCTGCAACACAAGACCCCCGTGTGCCCTGTGTGCCCCGTGTGCCCCTGTGTAAGAGCCGCAATGAGAGGTGCGGGCTCCAGGCGGCTCTTCCAAAATCATAGGCACACTGCTGATAGTCATCACTACTGGAAAAGAGGTTAAAAAACATGCTCAAAAGTGGCGTGTGGTACATGCAGGGGAGAAATGTGACAGGTTTGTCACAGTCCAGCGACACTTGGCTCTCTGTGGCCGGTTTTATTTACAACCCAAGCTGTGCAAATGCCCTGGGGTCAGGGCCTGTCACAGAAATACTCGAGCGGAGAAACAGCAGCACAGAGCAACGAGAGTCTTTTTTGTTGCTCTACAGCAATTTAATGAAAACAACCGGTGGATTTTCCTTCTTTTATGCCGCGTGCTCTTTAGCCCGCAGCCCGCGGGTGGGCAGCGCGTGTCCCCCTCAGCCGCTCCCCCCGGCCCGCGGTACCTGAGCACGGAGCAGCAGCTCCGCAGCCACCGCCCGCCCGCCGCCATCTTGGCCCGCCCGGCGCGCGGGAAGTGACGTCACCCGCCCGCGCGCGCACCTGCGGGGGGCGGGGCCCGAGCGCGGCCGTGTTCTTTCGTGCGCAGAGCGCCGGCGCGTGCGGGGCGGGGCGGGGCGCGCGCCGGGCCGTGAGGGCGGCGGCGGGAACGTGAGGGGAGCGAGCGGGAAGTGTCCCCAGGGCTGTCCGTGGGCTGTGTCCAGGGCTGTGTCCAGAGATACCCCCAGGGATATCCCCAGGGATGTCCCCAAGTCTGTCCCCGCGGCCCCTCCGCCGTCACGGCCCTGTGGAGCACCCCCGACACCTCCTCCGTATTTCGCCGGGATGCCCAACATCGTAAGCGTCAGAAATACGCAACAATTTGCTCAGCGGCTGGAAATGAGAAGGAGATTATGAAACAGGGTCTTGTCTAACTGTTGCAAAATGTGGAATGTGTAAAAAATCACTTATGGATGGGCTGTTCTTTGGTGTTTGGTTTTGTAGCTTTCAAACTGGATAAGAATATTTAATATGTGAAACAGATCAGCCCACAAGTTTTTACTGATGTCTGGGTGTTAGAAAACCAAATTACTTGGTGGTAGAATTGCCTTGATAAGGTTTAGGGCCTGATGTGTTTCAGTGATATTAGATTCGGGAAAGGTGAACAAATTCTTCTTGGGAAGAAGAATTTGGACAAAAGGAATGTGGAACTTACGGGCCTTGAGGACATTGGGCAGAACCCCCCAAGAAAACTTCACATCTGAGTTGAAATCAGCTCCATTGGATAAAAGGGGGTTCCAGCAGGGACAGATTGTGACCACCAACTCAGAGACACCAGTGCTCCTCACAGCCCTGGTTTAATTCATCTTTATTGTTCTAAAGTACACGGTGCTGCTTTGATTTTGGGTAGTTCCATGCTAGTGATAATCTCCACCTTCTCCACCAAAGGTTTCCGGTGCTATTCCACACACAATGACCTTAATCAATTAAATCTATTTATTATAGCAAGAATTCCTGTTCTCTCTCCTGTTTCAGAGACTTGGTCAGTGCAGGGTACTTTACTGAGGCACTGCTGTATCACACATTTTCCATCTAACTCCATGCTTTAAACATTTGTTCCAGAGCCTGGCACACCTGAGAGCGCCAGGTAACAACCCTGTACCTGACAAAACTGTGGGGAGAGGGGAACCTTGTGCTGATTTTAATGTCTTTTCCCAGGACTTCTAAAACAAATTACAAGTAATTTCAGTGTGTCTGCCTTCACACCCTTAATGAGGCAGAGCAGGACAAGGCAGGACTTGTTTGTTCAGATGCTGGAGTGCTGTTGCATCCCTGCCATCCCCTGTGCCGCGCTCGGCGGGGTGGGAATCTCAGGAGAAAACTGCTGGGAGGCTTTCAAATAGTTCAGAGTCCGGGAGGCACAAAGAATCTGCGAGAGCCACGAGGATCTGTAAAGTGCATGCACGGGGGTACCTTTTCTCTTTTAACCTTTATTGTTTTTGCACAGGAGAGTGAGACTGCGGTGAGGCAGCAAGAGCGCGGAGCCCGTGCGGGGTCGGCGCAGGGGGAAGGGGCCTCCATCCCCTGTGCAGGGCTGTGCCGTGGAGCCGCGTGCCTCTGGAAGGGCCGAGGGGGCAGGAGCGGGGGCAGAGCCCTCATTTGAGCACCAGGAAGTAGGTGGTCCAGCCGGCCAGCAGCAGCGCCCCGAGCAGCACGGTGTAGCTGAACAGCACGAAGGCCAGCAGCTCCCGCAGCACCTTGAGGAAGTGGATGGCAAAGGAGTCCGGCATGGCTCTCCCGGCTCCTCCCTGGCCTGGAAGCACAGCAACAAGGTGAGGCTTCTTCACAGCAGGGGCACCACCCTGCCACGGGGAGAAATCCCGTGGGCAGGGGGGTTGGTGACCACCTGGAAGGTTTTAGTGACTGGCGTGGGCCTGTTCAGAGCCCTGTCAAGGTGCTGAAAGAGAGTTTGGGGTCTGATCAAAGTCTCCAGATCAGGACTGGTAAGGAAGCAGATGGAAACACAGACGCAGGCAGTGGGCACGGCCATGGGGTGAGGCTGGGGGTGTGACAGAGCCCAGCTGGCTCCTGGAATCTGTCCCCTGGGGCTGTGCGTCCAGGAAGCGTCAGGATCAGAGCAGCCGCTGATGGTGCATTACCAACTGCGTGCTCTGATCAAAGTGGTCAATTCCTCCAAGGAAGCCACCATTAATATTTAATTCTTTAATTGCATCTAATGGAGGTACTGGCACAAAGTGAGCCTTTTGTTTAGGAATGACGAAAACTGAGGCTTAAATACAAGTTTGTACAGGCAAATATTTATATCTTGCGTTAAAAATAACTGTTAATAGGAGACATGGGCTAAGATGCCTCAGAATTCATCTTCTAGCAGTATAGTATAGTCATATGTACGCATTGCTTTGGAAGGGATTGCTCATTTGTTAGTTTAAATTAAATCTGAACTTTTCCCCCAAAGTCACTGGCTTAGATTTGAAGCTGTGAAAACCCACCTAAAAAATTCTATTATCTCTTCAATTTACGTGTTCTTTTAAATTTTGATCGCAACTGTGCCCGATCAACAGTATTGACACTCTTGGTCAAGCACGGAACGGGAGGTTAAAATCAGACTTAGGATAAAAACTAACCCAGAAGGATTATTTCTGTTCTGAACAGCCTAAAGCCAGCTAAACTAAACTGAATTCCTGTCCTGCTGCCTGGAATGTTTTTAAAAGAGCTCTTGTGATAAGGAATTCACTTTTTGGTGTTGTTCAGTGAGTTCAGCCGTTCCATTCCAAGCTCAGACACAGTACAGGAGTTACAGCATTTTTACCAGCTGTGGTTTCTCTGTTGTTCAGAGCATTACAGATTTCTGTCCACAGGCTGTGCGAGATTTCTGGTTATCTAGAAAGATGCTGATAAAGAAATAAACTGCTTACCCAGGCAGATGACGGGCTCTGCTTCGGCAAGTTCGTGTTTCTCCCTAGTTCTGCTCCGCAGTGTTCCTCTTGCAGGGGTCTGTGCTGAGACTGATCCTGCTGTGATCCAGGAGCAGAGTGTCTGTGTGTCTGTGTGTGTGTGTGTGTGCAGCCCACACGAGGACTGAGCTCTAGGTGTGGTCAGCACCGGTTATGATCCGACAGCGCCGTGGTGCTCGGAGCAGCCAAACACTCCCCTTCCCCCGGGGGCTTTTGGCAACAGCATTTCCAGAGTTCCAGTGCCAGGGCTTGGAGTCACCAAACCTGCGTTTGGTGAGGTGTGGGGGTTTGCCTCTAACAAAACCTTGTGTCATCTTACATATTTTATTGTGTTATCTCGAAGGCTGCAGTGCCTCTTGCTTGTTCCCTGAGCAGCCTGTGCTCTGTGAGCCACTCAGCGGAGGATGCTCACCCACAGCTGGGGCTCATCCCCAGGGTGGGACTGTGCAGGCTGAGCCAGGATCTTTGACCAAAACTCAGTGAGGGCTGAAGGCAGCCTAATCCCTGCAGGGTCCCCAGGTCACTGCTCAGTGTCACCCTTACCCTCCTTCCCAAGGAGTCATCCCAACATTTTAGAGCTCAAATGATGCAGCTCCTTTGCAGTGAGGGGAGGAGAGCCAGGCTCTATGTTTATTCTTAGCAAAACTGCTTCTGATAATATATGAAAAGTGAAAGTCTTTTGGGGTAGAGGTTGGGTAATATTTTCTTTTTTTTTGTAGTAATGTAGACAGCAGAGAAGGAAGATTATGTACTGCAAATCAAATCTCTTACCTACAAAGATATTATGATGTAGAAAATGGTCCCTTAATTTAATTAGGTTCTCTTGTTATCAAATTATTACCCACATGGTCAGCAGGGCCTTGGACAGAAGCAGACCATCATCAGCTGCTCAGGAAGCCTGTTAAATAGTAATTGCTCCTCCAGGGAATTGATCAGCGTCAGGATGGCTTTTATTTTGTTGTTGAATAGTTCCAGGAAGAGGCTTTGTCTAGGTGGAGGGGTTACACAGTTCTAGTGTAGGCTGCAAAAAAATAGGCTGCAATGTTGGTGATGAATTCAGAGTTTACCAAGTGTCTGGTGTAAACTCTTAACCAAAAAAAGTTTTGTCTGTGGTGTTACTGATTGCTGCCAGGGGAAAGGTGAGCTACTCTGTTTTTTTTAATTCACCTGTGGTGTAGCTCAGAAACCAGCCTGGTCAGTATTTCCTTCAGATTAGTTCAACTGTTAAAAATTAATTAAAAAATAATCTGGAAATTGTGATACTACAGAGACCCTTCAAGGCCAACCCAAGGACACACCACTGGTCTGAGTAAATTTCTTGTTTTTCTCTACACAGAAACATCTAATTTTTGATCCAAATCTAATTCAGTTTTCCTTTTAAATACTCTGAAATTAGCTACTTTAAATGGAACTTGCAGAGCAAACAATCCATGTTTGCTTTTCTTGCATCACTGAAGTTGCAGCATGTTTTTTGTTAAGTCTGTCTACAAGTTGCCTCCCCACCTGAAAGTCTCATTGTATTTTTCTTCATAAGTTCAGAAAATCCACTTCTAATGTAGTATTACAGGTGGCAGAACAGAATTAAATTTTATGTGAGCCTTCGTTAAAAAACACCTGGGTGTTAGAAAACTAGTTTCAATCAGTTATCCAGTTATCCTGGGACAGGGAGACAAGAAAACAGCTACCACAGTGCAGGGTTTTATTTTATTTTTGTATTCTAGAGAGAGGGAGAGTGAGTGCAAACACTTCCAAGAAAAAAAAAAAAAGATTAAATACATCTTTATTTTATTTTATTTCATAAGTCAGCTGGAGTTAAACAGAGAGAGCGGCTCCATGGAGGGTCTGACTTGGCAGACTTCAGTCTTGGCAAATAAAACAGACCAAAACCCACAGTCACAACTGTGACAACTTGGAAGATTTGAGGGATTTATGGGGACATATTATACATGATAACTGAGGCAGAAATGCTTGCTAAGAGAGTGATTTAAGGTGAGGAGTTGGCCTTTTTCAGTTGTGTTTAGAGTGAACTGCAGTGTGG